GCAACTGAAAATAGTTGTGGATGATTACTATACCTTTCTAATGTGACATTGTTGTCCCTGGCTCTCTTTCTCTCTCTCTCTCCCTCCCGCTCTGTTCCTGTGCTACTGAGTGTAACTACCCCCCCTTCCCCCCTCTTCCCAGTGCAAAGCACAAGGCTCGTATGCAGAGTGAAGCGGAAAAAAGTGCGAGAGAGAGGGTGAGAGAAAGAGGGAAAAAAACCAAAAAAACAACAACACGGCTCGCGATAAGGAGCCGGCTTGCGTCGTTCACGTCAAAGATCCGGCTCTAAGAGCCATTTATTTCGCGACTGACACATCACTAACAAACAGTTCAAATTCATTTGAATGCCTGACTCTTAACCAACACAATGCAGAGCAGCTACCCAAACTCTACTCTCACAGAGGTTGATTATCTCGTTGATGGTGTTAGATTCTAATAGCATATGACTACTGTGGCTCCCCTGAAAATGGCCTCAAACAGACATACTTGACACCCTAGTATAACTCACAAATGCATACCCAACTGAAGAGGAGAGGAATATGGCTAAACACTAATTTAGAAGTTCTTCATTTAGCCTGGAAAAAGAGTTTGTTGCTCTTAAAAAGAAGCTCTCCATAAACCTAGAATATCTTACTATTCATGGGTGATTGCAGGAAACAAGAACCTCAGATTTCTCTTCAGCACTCTAGAAGGGATGACAAAGAGTCAGAGCTCTGTTGAACAAACCATTGCTTTAAATGTAACCAGGCATAACTTCATGAATTTCTTTACAAATAAAAACGATTACAATACTGTTGATATTAATTTAGACTCTTTCTCTCTAATTGATCTTTTGACTTCAGTAATCACTTCCTCCAAACCATCAGTGTGTCTTTAAGACCCCATTTCTAAAAGACTCCTTAAATAAATCCTACCATCAATTAAGGCTTCAATCTTAAATATGGTCAAGCTAGTACTGTCTTGGATTTGGAAATGATGTGGATTATTCCTTCCTGGATGTGATGAGCAGGCAAAACAAAGGCCTGGCTCGCAGAATCTTTGAAGCTT